CCCGGCCGCGCGCCATGAGGCGGCCCAAAGTGCTGCTCACCGGTACGGAGCGGAGCGGGGTCGGGCGGCGCCGGGCCCACCCGGGCGCGGCTCTTTGCTGGGAAGTTGTCTGGAAGATCCCGAGCGGTGCCCTTACTGTTTTCTGCGTTTTTGTCTTCAGGTACTCCCGGTGTTGGGAAAACCACGCTGGGCAAAGAGCTGGCCGCCAGAGCGGGGCTCGTCTACGTTAACGTAGGTGACCTGGCTAAAGAAGGTAGGACACGCTCTCCAAAAAAAATACTCCATCAAAGTGCTTGAAATGTCTTTGTTTCGTATAACTGTTCTTGTAGTGTGTGCTATGTAGCAAACTAAAGTGCGGGGATCTATTAATAGAAATGTTTTTAATGAGACAGGTTAATAAGCTGTTGGTTAATATAAATGTATTTTGCATTAAATGATAAATAACAGACTTATATGAGCATTTAAACACAGAGTTCTTTGTGCGATATCTGCTGTTTACATCATCTGAAAATGGACATAATAAATACTTTCATACTGATTGGTGTTATTTCATACCAATTTTGCTGCAGGAGAACTGTATGAAGGCTTTGATGAGGAATATGGATGTCCAATTTTGGATGAGGACAGAGTAAGTCCAGCATCAGAATCTAGCATTTTTGTATTGTCTCTCCGTGATTACAAGTAGATTTGGCTTTTGTTTGTTTGTTTGTCCTGTAGGTAATTGATGAACTAGAAGACAAAATGAATGAGGGTGGAGTTATTATCGATTATCATGGCTGTGATTTTTTCCCAGAAAGGTGGTTTCATATAGTATTTGTACTTCGTACAGAAAATTCAGTTTTGTATGACAGACTTGAAAGCAGGTACGTCAATGAAGTAAATAAGGAATGTAATCTGATATTGTGCAACTTTGTTAAGAGTTATTTCTGGTGTATACAGAATCATTGATTCCGTATACAGTTTTGTATGGTTCTCTGTATATACAAGATAATGACTTTCTTTCTACGGATTCTTGTCTTGTAGGGGCTACAAAGGAAAAAAACTGCAGGACAATATTCAGTGTGAAATTTTTCAGACACTTTATGAGGAAGCCATGTCATCTTATAGAGAGGAAATTGTGCATCAGTTACCCAGCAACACTCCAGAGGACCTAGAGAGAAATTTGGATCAGATTATGCAATGGATTGAGCAATGGATGAAAGACAACAATTGACATCTGGAAGAAAAGTAACTCCTTTCGTGGAGGGGTTTAATAAGTGACATTCATAATTCTTTTATGGTAAACTGAAATAAATGTAACTGTGGTTTGTTTTGGCTGGGGGCTGAAAGCAGTTTCATAATAGCCAATTCTAAGGGTTTGGAACAGCCTCGGAAACATTGTGGGTAGGCACAGAGGAGAGCTGGCTCCAAAGTGGGAATGAAGCAGTGAATGGAAGGATTAGATGGTATGGTTGCCTTTGAGCTTCGATGGTTATTATGGTTAAAATTAAACCTTTTCATTTTCCCACTAAGAAAACTGTAAAATTGTAATGGCTGATTACAGTTGTGGTGCCTTTGATTGCTGAGGGTAAGGTGAATGTACTGAAAAGGAGATGGGCAGCTTCTCAAACATTAGACTACAGGTGGCTGTATTCTGCTGTATTCTTAAGTATGTGGGAGCTAATGTAGAATGAGGGTCATTTTATATATACAGCTTAAGGATAGCTCTTTGTTTTTGCGGTAAGACATTTGATCTAGTAAGAAAGCTCTTTTTGAATGTTTTATGATAGAAACATCAGCTTTATCTGCACACATACAGAAGAGTCAAGTAAGAAGTTTTCTTTCTCTTTTTTTCTCCTGTGTGTTCTCTATCGCCCATGTCAAGCATGAAAAATATTTATCAGTGTAAGCTTGCTAAGGAAGCAGTAGTACATCATTTTGCAGAGAAACAGTTCTCCAGTGACTTTACGCTATGGTTGAATTTAAAAGGTTGGTGCCTGTCTGTTCTGGCTTGTGCAGCAGGAGTGCTGGAAGGGCACGTGCTGCAATGCCACTTACGTGAACGGAGGAGGGACTGAAAAGCTTTACAAGGGATCCCGTGGGAAGTACTTGCCAATAGGCTTTGGCATATGTGAAGTTGGAAAGTTGAGCTCTTTACCTGAAATTTGTGTTGTGAAAAGGTTACGTATTTAAGATTGTGATTTTTTTTTTTAATTCCGAATTTAGTGTAGAACTTGTTACGAGAGTTACAGTTCCTAGGAAAGTGGGAGCTCCTGTCAGATTTCTGTCGCGGTGATGTTTGTGCGCGGCCTGGAACTGTCAAAAGCCTGAAGTTTCGTGGCAGAACCGACCCAACAGTGTGGAAAAGCATGTGTGCTGCCCTTGCCATTGAACAGGGCCTCTCCCAGGGCTCCTGCTGGAGTGG